CGCTGTCCCTCAGCTCTTCAGCTCAAGGCTAGCGCTCTACCACTTGAGCCACAGCGCCACTTCCGGCTTTTTTCTTTTTGCTTATGTGGTGCTGAGGTATCAAACCCAGGACCTCAGGCATGCAAGGCAAGCGCTCTACCACTGAGCCACCTTCCCAGCCCCAGGTTTGGGCTTTTGCTTTGTTTTTTTGTCTGTGTAGACAAGTTGGCTTCCAACTTGTGATCCTTCTGCCTTAGCCTTCCAAGTTCCAGTTTTAAATAGAATCATTAGAGTAAGCCTAAAAGAAAAGGTGATAAACAGGCTTTTTTTTTGGGGGGGGGGGAGAGTAGGAACTAATGAAAAGAAGTTGAGCTGATGAGGGTCAAAGAGGATGAATATGGTCAAAAAAGATTGTCAGCAAGTATGAAAATACAACAATGAAACCTGATGAAATTGTTTTATAAAGAGGGAATGGTAAAGGACAGGGATGGCAGGAGGTATATTGGAATACCCTGTATATATGCATGAAAATGTCACAATGAAATAATGTTTGCTAATGGAGAAAGAGAGACTGAGAGAAAGAGAGGAAATAGAGTGATAAGACATGAAAGGAGGGAAGCCTTTCCTTCTCTTTTGTCCAATTAATTTGAATTCACCCTTTGGATTTGTTTTAAAATCACTTGGAGAAGCTCTCTATCCCACAAACAAGGTGAGTTTTACCATAGTGTGTTTCCACTGCAATACACATTTCTTCTTGATGACATTTACCACAGTGGTGACTACTTCTCCTATAGTATCTTTTTCATATCATGTTAGTTCTCAGAGAAGAGCTGCTATATGTCACCCACACCTCTTTATTGGCAGGGCTTAACCTTAACTCAGTGTTAGTGGGATGGATAGATAGATAGATGAATGTCAGGCAAAATTCAGAGTTCAGAATTGGCATGATGTGTTCAAGCACCACACATAAAGTGATCATATTTATAACAAAAGGTAAGAGAATCAATAACTGAAGAAACATCTCTTAGGACCTGACCAGAGAAAGCCTGTTACAATGCTAAGGGGTCTAAAAGTCAAACATTATTAAGTAGACGAGTATCAACTAAATAGATGATATACCATTAAATACATGAATATCATATATATGTGTATGTACATGCACACACCTATAGATAGGTTATATGTACATATATATATATACCTATCTATGATGTGTGTGTACATATATACATACACACACTCATGCATACTTTTGGTGATATTGGGTTTGAGTTCAAGGCTTTAAGCTTGGTAGTCAGATAAGCTCTACTGCAGCCCTTGTCTTTTATTCTGCACTTATTATTATTATTTGTGTGTGTGTGCGTGCACACACAGCTCTTGGGGCTTGAACTCAGAGTCAGGGTACAGTTCCTGAGCATTTTTGCTATACTACTTGAACCACAGATCCACTTCCAGATTTCTCATGGTTAATTGGAAAGAAGAGTCTCATGGACTTTCCTGCTTGGGGTGGGGAGGAAAGGATACTCAGATCTCAGCCTCCTGAGTAGTAAGGATCACAAGCATGAGCTATCATTGACTGGCTACATTGGTTAGTTTTGATAGTCTCCTTTCTTACCCAGTCATGTACCTGGACCACAATCCTATTATTTGTTTCCTATTGTAGCTAGGATGACAGGTGTTATAGCTAGGTGTAGCTTAGTTTCTTCTGGTGAGATCAAGTCTATGCCTGGGCTGGCCTAGAGCTAAGATCCTACTGATCTCAGCCTCATCAATAGTTAGGTTAGGTTAGAATTATAGGCAAAAACCACTAGTTGAAGCAAGTACCACATTATTTATATTTTACTTCACTTTGGCTAGTGTGGAAATGGAATTGATAGTTATCTCTATAGCCAACATCATCTCTTTACTTAGGAACAGGCCCCCAATCTTTTTTTTGGGGGGGGTCCGGTCGTGGGGCCTGAACTCTGGGCCTGGGCGCTGTCCCTCAGCTCTTCAGCTCAAGGCTAGCGCTCTACCACTTGAGCCACAGCGCCACTTCCGGCTTTTTTCTTTTTGTTTATGTGGTGCTGAGGAATCGAACCCAGGGCCTCGAGCATGCAAGGCAAGTGCTCTACTACTGAGCCACCTTCCCAGCCCGTGGCCCCCAATCTTTAGATAGGAAAATGATTGCTAGTATAAAGGTAACATTTCCCAGCCTCCCTTGTAACAAGACCTGGCCATGGGCCAAATTTCTGATACATAACTTCCAGTATGTCATTGCTAGGAGGGCCTGCCCTTCGCCACTAATCCCTGCGTCATCTTTGGAATGTTTATATAATGAAAGCTCCATCTTGCTCATGAGGATGAGGCTTATGCCTCAGAAAGCTGCTAAGTAGACTGGGTCTCAGAGGACTATGAAGTCACTACATCAGTTTTGGACTAGATTTTTAAAGAGAAATAAAGTGACTGGTTGAGTCTCTGTTAAATGCAGCTTAGCTAAATACTAATGAACCAAAAGCAGTCTAAACTGAAGACAAAAAGGGAGAGACATATGGTAGAGAGCTTGCCTAGAAAGTGTGAAGTCCTGATTTCAAACTCTAGTACTACCAGAACCCAGCCAATCAACCAACAAAAAATCTATTAAGACTGTTGCTTGTGGTATTAATAGAGGTAGAAAGAAAAAAAAACTAAAAATATTTGGAAGACAGGTGTCTGGCTCACGCCTATAATCCTAGATACTCAGGAGGCTGAGATTTGAGGATCGCAGTTCAAAGCCAACCTGTGCAGGAAAGTCCGTGAGACTTATCTCCAATAAACCACCAGAAAACTGGAAGTGGTGCTGTGGCTCAAGTGGTAGAGCACTTGCCTTGAGTTGAAGAGCTCAAGGACAACACTCAGGCACAGAGTTCAAACCTTACAACTGATAACTATCTATCTATCTGGCAGAACTACAGAACTTAGAAATTGAATGAATAGCATGACAGTGAAATGCTCTAAGATGGGGGCCTTCAGGTGAAGAATTATCTGGGTAAGGCTCAAAGGTTCTATGCATTGAGTTCTTGGATGAAACACGTCTCTAGCCAGGCACAGTGGCATGCCTATAGACCTAGCACTTGGGAGTTGAGAGTGGGAGGTTGATTTGAGACTAGGAATTTGAGAACAACTTTGGGAAACATGGTAAGATCTAATTGAAAATAAATCTCCATAAATTATTTGCAGTTAATTCAAATTACCAGTTCATTTGTCTCTGCTGATAAAAGGGCTTTCCTTGCTTAAATTGAACTATTGAGCCCATCTAATGTACCAGGTATTATGTTTGAACTCTGCCTTTGTAATTACAAACTGTGAAATAAACCTAGATTGTAAGAGCTGAGGTACTAGAATTTGGCAACCATAGGGGTATAATCTTCTCAATGGTAGTTTCTTTGGATAACATTTAGTTATATCCAAAGGCGGGCACAAATGTCTTTTATTTAAGGGTTCAAAACAAGATTAAAAAAAAACACAGGGAAATTAAGCTTATAGTTTATTCCAAGAAAATGAGTCCAAGCTGTCTAGGAAAGTGCTAATGGCGAGGATAACTGGAATGTTAAAGTGAAGTGATATCAAAGAATGACAGGAAACTATCAGTCCAATAAGCAAAGCAGGAGTTAAGATGCAAGTAATAGTGGCTTTGGGCTTCCCCCCCTCTCCCCGCCCCCCGTTTGTCATTGTTGTTGTTGAGTGGGTATGAGAGAATAAAAAATCCTTAGATTGGGGCTGGGAAGATAGCTCAGTGGTAAAGTGCTTGCCTTGCATGCATGAGGCCCTGGGTTCAATTCCTCAGGATCACATAAGCAGAAAATAGATGGAAGAGGTGCTGTGGCTCAAGTGGTAGAGCACTAGCCTTAAGCTGAAGAGCTAAGGGACAGCGCCCAGGCCCAGAGTTCAGGCTGACAGAAAAAAAAAAAAAAATCTTTACATTGGGTCAAGGGAACTTAAAAGAGACCTAAATTCTGAATGATTGTCTAAATACTTAAGTTTACACACAGACTAAGAACTAGCAACTTATAAAAAAGTAACAGGGCACTAGTAATTAGTGGTAGTGAAACAAATAATGAGAGTCACAGGGATCAACAGCTTCCAAAGAATATGATGTCAAAGAGCAGAAGCGAAATTCTGAAGCCAATGAGAGGAGCACCCCCACAAAAAAGTTTATGCTAATGTGAGCAAGCTAGTTTGTTTATTTATTTCTGGTCCAAGGATGTGACTGAGTGGTACAATGCTTGTCTAACATGTACAAAGCCCTTGGTTCAGTCTCTAGCACTGAAAGGAAGGTAAGGAGGGAGGGACGCTATTTCTGTATTGTGCTTGAAGCATTACACCATTGGTCACTACAGCAATGGCTGTCACTTTATAGAAAGATCTGATATAGAAAATAGATGATAAAACTAGGCTTTGTTCTTGAGTGGTAAACAGAAGACAAAGAACCAGGGCACAAGAAACTGAGAAAATGGTTTGCACCTAGATCAAACTGCACATGTGAACTCTGGTAGGCTGGGCATACCAGCACTTGGTAGAGGCAGGGAAATCTTGATTTTGAGGCTGGCCTAGGCTATACAGTGAGACTCTACATCAAACAAATCAAATCAAAATGAAAAGCTCTATAGACCAGAACCTTTAGGAACTATGCTCCTAGTTTTTCTCTAATAGGTACTAATTATGTGAAATTGTAACCAAAGAAACATAATTCAAAATGGAACTTTACTGAAAAGACACATACAATGGTTGAAGTGGACCAATTTTCCCAGCACTAGCACATCTGGTTTCTAATGTCCTATTTCTGAGAGCTAAGATGTTCACAAACTTTTTGCTTGCATTTATACTTCTCAAGGAGAGAAGTGTAAAGACATGAAAGCTACTATACAAGGAAATTTCTCATTAACAATTTTCTGTTCCTATTCTATTATTCAAGAAATAGCAGAACACATGAGCCCTTTTCTCAATAGATAACTGTACAAATGGGCTTTGAGTAAAGTCTGGCTTCTTCATCTGTTTAGTAGACAATCCTCTTATAGTTTTTGCTGTAAAAATTGGAACATGACATCTGTTAAATTTAGAATCTATACAAACTTAATGCTCAGTAGATAATGATTTTGAGAGACAGCCTGATGTAGAACAAAGAATATGGACCTTAAAGTCAGATCTGCACTGCTTTGTGGGTGGCTGAAAGTTATTATTATTGGAGCCAATGTCTACATTTAATTCTTCTGTAAAAAATGAAACATTATCACCTGATGGGGATTCTTGAGGATGTAGCGTGGATTGATGACAGCAGTAAGAGTAAAATAACTATCATGGTGATTAGGGGAAGGAATGGATCGGGGATTTCTCAAGGGGATTTACTGTAATGAATACTTTGTTGAGATTGAAGATCTTAAATATTTGGTAGCATTCATGACATTTTTCCTAGCAGTTTGAATGGAAGAAAACAAAAATCATACAAGAGGTCAAAGGATGCTAGAATATGAGGCACACATGTCATTCAGAATGTTGAATAGACATAAGTGCCACCAAAATGAGGACAATGAGAAAACAATGGAGAGGCTAGAAGGGAAATATAGGAGAGTGACAGAGTGAGGTTAATGAGGTACAATCAAATCTCTCCTTCAACAACTAATGTATGCTAATAAGAAAATCCTTAAAAAAAAAAAAGGAATGAAGAAGCCAGAATTAGAAGTCATAGAACAAATATAGTGAGAACACTGTTGAATAGAGGGTAGCAAGGTGGAATAAGGAGATCTTAGAAAAGCAGTAAAACATTAAGGTAGTATTAACAAGGTTCCACATAGTTTACTTGATCCATATTTTACTTTTTTACATAGTTCACTCCCCCTGCATAACTACCACCATTGACTTCTTCCTCGAGTTTGAATGCATTGTGGTTTCTCTCTCCTTGATTGTCCTTGAAGAAAAAAAACAATTTTTTTTTGTTTAAAGGTTTTACTGCTAATTCCATGAAGACGAGAAGTATGAAGTAACAATCATGAGAAAAGGTTGAAATTATTGAACAAGTTATTTATTTACAAGTTTCGTCTCTGTGGTCAATGACTTCCTAAAAGTGATGTGTAAAAGCCCTTTGGGTCCCCCCCCCCCAGATCCAATACAACTATTTCTTATAAAACAATCTAGGGAGAAAAAAAGAAACACGGAACCAATGCATACTTTGCCATTTACGTGTTAAGACAGAACCCATGGGCAATCTGTCATCTGAATGAGAACTTGTGTCGGGGCTTGAAGCCTGCAGATACGCCCTCAGTGACAGAACCAAGCATGGCACCAATAAAACAGACAAAGGTTCCATGCCCAGAATATAAACGACATAGTGTAGAAATGGGGTTTATTGGCTTCAGGTTAAGGAGCAACAACACTACCTGGCTTTCAGGTAACGGCCTCAATCTCTCTGTACAAACGTCAACCAAGCCCCAAGGTCCACTGGGTCCTTCCATTGGAGGGTCCATCTTGCAGCTTCCCCTCATGAAACTGGACGGCTAGCTGCCTGACGGTGAGACATTGGGCTGTTCTTCGGTAACGCCGGGCGCAGCCGAGGCAGCCTCGTAGTCGGCGATGCGGCGCTGTACCAGGGCAGGCATAAGCTGCACATAAGCGGCCATGAGCCGGTGGTTGGAATGGATCAGCTTCCCGGCACAGCTATGCAGACAGGCCTCCTGGAAGGAAGACAGAAGTGGAAGTAGAGACCAAAAGGGTCCTATCAAGCCCACCTAGGTCCAGCCCCAGTCTAGGGTGAGGTCCCGGGGTCAGACATTGGCGGGGAGGAGGCCGTTCTCTGAGGCTCCCTACAGTTCCCCACCTCCTCGGCGTCCAGGGACCGGTGGTGTAGGCTGGGCACACAGCGCTGGAAACAGAGCTCGGTCATCCGATTGTAGACCAACAGGAAGTCTCGCAACTGGGAGAGAAAGGGACCAGAAAGAGCTGGAAGGGGCCTCCACGCCACTCCAGGCCCCGCAGCTGGCGTTTCCCAGGACCGCACGCCACAGCCTGTCCTTCCCTGCCCGCGAATTCCTGACTCTCTGCACGTCTACCTCTGTCTCCTGAGATGCGGGTTTAGCCGCGAACGGAACGTCTAACCCAGAAGTTTTAACTCTCACTCACGTTTCTCAGTTGCTGTTGCTGCTGCTCCATAGCGCCAAGGACGCGCGGCGACGCCACTTCCGATACACCTAGGTCCCGCCCCGGAAGTAAACTCTCACCACTCTCCCGTTCCCTCCCTCTCCTCAAGGATTTGAGGGCTGGGCTTCAAGATCGCCCTGCCCACAAATGCGAACGTCACTTCCGCCCTTATAATCTGCGACGTGGCCGGCTTCGTCTGCCCAGAGAGGGCGTCACTTCCGCCGAATCCCTGACCTGCTGCTAGGATCGCGACGGGAACTGGAACCTGAGGTCCCCGCGCGGTCCGGGCCTGGCGCCCTGAGGGGAAGAGCGGCCCGGCCCAGGTGAGAGGGACTTACCTAAGCGTAGGGAAGTGGAACGCAAGAACCTGCCCTGAGGGCAAGATGTCCTAAGCCCTAGGCAAGGATGAGGACACACCTGATGCCCAGGTGTGTGTGTGGGGGGGGGTGGGGGCAGGGAGACACACACCTGGGAGACATAACTGACTTTGGAAAGGGTCGTCTATATCCTGAGAAAGCGAGGCTTTTAGCCAGACCCCGACAACATCACACCAATTGATTCAACTAAGGCCTGGTGGCGAGGGCTGGGGAAGAGGATGAGATGGAGGAGAGGGAGACCACCCGAAGGAAGGGGAAAGGAACACCGAGGCATGTGAAAGGTCAAGCCTTGGAGAACATGCCTATAAAGCTCGTGAGCACCTGAGCCCCCCGGAAAGGGGTTCGACTCCTGGTGGGAATAAACACACCTGTGCAGGGGATAAGTTGGAAGAGGGAGCGGACTTTTGCTCTGTTGTTTACTGCTTTATTCCCAGTGCCTGGACGTGTACTTCCTGAATTTCTTTTGAATGACTAGATGTGTGAATGATTACTGAAGGTGAAGTTGGGGGTTGTGAGAAGACACCTTAGGCTGGAGGGGCTCATGTGTTTAATTTTTACACACTTTGGAGGGAAGGAATGCACATATACCCAAGCAAAGAAGTAGGAGTGGTGAACCCTAGGGAGACTCAAATCCCAGGACAACCTCTGAAACCTCAGAAATGGCAGGGGAAGCCTCCCTGTTCTGGAGTGCTGGCCAGTTTCCAGCACTGTGTTGGGCTTTGCAGTGCTCTGGGGTGGAGACCTTGATTCCAATTCCTTCTCTAGCCATGACAGACGGGATCCTAGGGAAGGCAGCAACAATGGAGATCCCCATCCATGGGAATGGCGAGGCTGGGCAGCTTCCTGAAGATGACGGGCTGGAGCAGGTGCTTCTGTTTGATTCTTCTCAGTGTTTCTCAACTTAACAATCCCAGCTTTCAAACCCTGGGCTCTCGCTTTCCATTCCACTGCCCTTTTCTTATCTAAGTCCTTTTATTCTTTCTACGAATCTCCGTATTTTGACTCTGTGCAGGCTTCCCTGTGTAAACTTTGATGCTTCAATCTAAGCTTATTCCCACCCCCAAAATGTTTCAGCTGCCCCTATGTTCCTGAAGCGCCCCCTCTTCTCTGGCCTATAGGACCTTCAGCAGGTGATGGTATCAGGACCCAACCTCAATGAAACCAGCATTGTGTCTGGTGGCTATGGGGGCTCTGGTGATGGACTCATCCCCACAGGTATGAATGATCAGAGGCAGAAAATTTGAAGGGGAGTGGGGCTGGAATGGTTTGGAGGCACATAGGAAATGTCTAGAAAGTGTCTATAATGTCTGAAGATCTTGGGAACTACTGTGCATTTGAACCCCTTGGGCTCTTCAGCCCCAGGCCAGCTACCAGTGTTGTCCATTTGCTTCCCCCTGGTGTGTAGTCACTGAGATGGCTCATTTTCTTTTCCTCTTACCACTGCTTGAGCCTATGTAAGACCTCTACTTTAAAGGAATTCCCCAGCTCTGGAACATGAGGCTGATTTGGAACTTTGTGAGGCTTCTTGGAGCTTTACTTTTCTCTGTATAGGAACTAGAGAGAATTTCACACTAATATTCTACATGGAAATGTCAACCAAGTTTCCTGTTATTAAGACCCACCATTCTTTTTTTGGGGGGTCTGGTCGTGGGCCTGAACTCTGGGCCTGGGTGCTGTCCCTCAGCTATTCAGCTCAAGGCTAGTGCTCTACCGCTTGAGCCACAGCACCACTTCCGGCTTTTTTCTTTTTGCTTATGTGGTACTGAGGAATTGAACCCAGGGCCTCATGCATGCAAGGCAAGTGCTCTACCACTGAGCCACCTTCCCAGCCCCAAGACCCACCATTCTTGACCCTTCCTTGCCTACAGTCAGTGTGTTTTCTTCTGTTTTCTCTGGCTCTGTACACCAGCAACACCCCCACTCCACCCCAGGTGTGCCAGATACATTTTGGCTTGGGGTTTGGTTCTTAAGGCATAGGCTTCCAGTTCCCCCAATGCATAGGAAAATCTAGTCATCTGTTTAGCTGCTTCTTCAGTGAATCTGTTTTATGTATTGGGAGGGAAATATAAGGAGGGCCACAGAAGTGTCTGCTTATGTCTAAGAGAGGCTGGTGTCAGAGAACTTGGTCCTTTAGGGTCTGGCCGCCATCCATCTCACAGTACCACTCCTGCTGGCGCTGGAGATGAGGTGGCTCGGGGCATCGCTGGAGAGAAGTTTGACATTGTCAAGAAATGGGGCATCAACACATATAAGGTAAGGATTCAAGCACTTCTCTGTTTCCCAAACTCCCCATGGATACCTTTTCCTAGATCCTAGATTCCCATATATGGCTCAGACTATAATACTGGAGGTGTTTGAGTAGCTAGCTACCTTTTGGGAGGGTGTGGTCTAGGGTCTCAGACTTTTCCTTCCCCCACTTCTTAATCAGTGCACAAAACAGCTGTTATCAGAGCGATTTGGCCGAGGCTCTCGAACTGTGGATCTGGAGCTAGAGCTGCAGATTGAGTTGCTGCGTGAGACGAAGCGCAAGTATGAAAGTGTCCTGCAGCTGGGCCGGGCACTGACAGCCCACCTCTACAGCCTGCTGCAGACCCAGCATGCACTAGGTGATGCCTTTGCTGACCTCAGCCAGAAGTCCCCAGAGCTTCAGGTGCCTCAGCCAGAACAAAGAGGGTGGGGGGACTGGGCCCCAGCCCTTCCTAGCAGTCACTCCTCAGCCTCCCTCCCTCCCTCCTGCAGCCCCCAGGGAGAACCCCTCCAGGGTGGGCCCAGCCCTGCCCCCAGCAGCACTCACCTGTGGAGGCAGCCTAAGGGTTTGTACAGAGGTCCAGAAGTTGGAGGGGGTGAGGGTGGGGGAGGTGGCACATTAGGTGCCTCACAAGTAACCCTTCTCTACGTCATCAAGAATGCCTTTGGTGCTCGGCCTAATCAGAGCTCCTTCCCTGCCTGCTGCACTAGCTTTCCCTGTTCCTGTCTTGTAAACTTAATCTGAGAATCCCTTTCCCCCCCGGCATTCCTACCCCAGGCATCCCCAGGATGGCCCAACTAACTTTCTGGCGATGGAGAGCCTTGCTAGAGACAGTCCTTGTTATTTTTAGTTTTGATGGCTGTTTTCCCTCTCTGGGAAGAGGGGAAATGAAGGACTGTGCAGCTCCAATTAGGTAGGGACTGTTACTCAAGGCCTGTCCCTCCCTCTGCCCTCAGGAAGAATTTGGTTACAACGCAGAGACACAGAAGTTGCTGTGCAAGAATGGGGAGACGCTGCTAGGGGCTGTGAACTTCTTTGTTTCTAGCATCAACACATTGGTCACCAAGACCATGGAAGACACGCTCATGACTGTCAAGCAGTATGAAGCTGCCAGGTGTGAGCACTGGCAGGGCCCAGTGGGAAAGTTGGCTGGCACGGGTGGAAGTTTGGGCATTAGGGGCATAGCAATAATTCAAGAAAGAAAGGCAAATATGTGTAAGAACATAGGAGTTGAGACCAGCCTTTATTACCCCTTTCCCAGGCTGGAATATGATGCCTACCGAACAGACTTAGAGGAGCTGAGCCTAGGTCCCCGAGATGCAGGGACACGTGGTCGACTTGAGAGTGCCCAGGCTACATTCCAGGCCCATCGGGACAAGTATGAGAAGCTTCGAGGAGATGTGGCCATCAAGCTCAAGTTCCTGGAAGAAAACAAGGTGCCCACCCTGTACCCTCCTTGATCCTAGGCCACCCTTACAGTAACCTTCCCCTCATCTCTCCCCATTGTCGGGTGGGCAGGGCAGTTTGGCTAGAGAATGCGTTCCTTGTCAAACTCTGCGCCATTTCAGGTCGCCCTCCTCCCAATCACTGATCATTGTTCTGTTGGGGGGGGGACATAGATGGGAAGAACTGCCCTTGAGCTCGGGTACAAGAACCCTAGGCCCAGCAAATCAAGTCAGGTTTCCATCTCTCATATTGACCTTTCTTCTTTGACTCCCTGGGTGGAGTTCAGTTCCCATCCCAAGAGCACCATTAGAGCAGAATCCATGTGTCCCTGGACTATGCTCATAGCCCCTCAAGAAGGGTGCCTGAGTCTATCCTGCTGGACCCCCAGATCAAGGTGATGCATAAGCAGCTGCTGCTCTTCCACAATGCCGTGTCCGCTTACTTTGCTGGGAACCAGAAGCAACTGGAGCAGACCTTGCAGCAGTTCAACATCAAGCTGCGGCCTCCAGGAGCTGAGAAGCCTTCCTGGCTAGAGGAGCAGTGAGCTGCTCCCAGCCCAACTTGGCTTTCAAGAAGGACATTGGGAGGGGCAGCCCCAGGGTGGAGGAGTTTGGACATGGGACATTCCTTGCCATTTACCTTCTGGCTTGGGCTCCCTTTCTCTGCTGGGGCCTGACACCAATTTTGCCCATACTGCTGTGGTGTGAAGAGGGCCACACCTCTTCTGAAGAAGCTGCTGCCCTGTCCTTTATCTTCTTGGCCACTGGGCATCATTCCCAGATTTTTTTCCTTCCACTCCACAGCCAAAGGCTATGACAAAACTATTCCCCGGCCAATGGCATCACTCCTCGGGCCAATCCCCAGTTCCTGGGGTATGCCCCCTGACCAATGACAGGGTCTCAGAAGACCTTGTCAGCCAATGGCAGCTCTTCTTGCGCTCCCCTGGGCCAATGATGTTGCCTCCAATACTCTTTGTCCCTCCTC